TCCCTGTTTTGATTTCAGCGAATCAGTTCGAGCAAACGCACACAACCTGATTAATATTCATGAATCCAGTAGCTCATTAATCCTTAGTGAGTTTTTATATTGTTCCTATTAGTAGAATTTGTATAATAATAATAATAATATCTTAGTGTTATTGTTCGTTTTTTTTATAGGAACACTGAATGACCAAAGAAAGCACCAGCACCAGTCCTAAGTCCATGGTTACCAAGTTTGAATTCTAATTACTAAACTTCTTCTAGGTATCGGCCAATACTGAACCCTAGGTATCGGCCAATACTGAACCCTAGGTATCGGCCAATACTGAACCCTAGGTATCGGCCAATACTGAACCCTAGGTATCGGCCAATACTGAACCCTAGGTATCGGCCAATACTGAACCCTAGGTATCGGAATCGGTATCGGAAGCGAAAAAAGCGGATCGGAGCATCCCTAGTCTTTACGCACATAAATGAAGAGTTTTCACAAATTGGTGCAGGTCGCAGGGCTAAGACCCATTCATCTACCCAATACCAATAATTCTTGCCTTCCCTCAAGAGCCCAAAAAAAAAAATGCAGTTCTAGCCCATACATTCAGCGAGCCTGTGTGCACTCTCTCTCAAGACAGCGCTCCTGCTCGCGCTGGCCTCTGTTAAGTGAGTGGGGGACCTGCAGGCGCTGTCAGTTGACGACTCGTGTATTGAGTTCGGGCCAGGTGATTGCAGACTCAACTTAAAGCCTAGGAAGGGTTATGTGCCTAAAGTGCTTTCGACTCCATCTAAAACGCAGGTCATAACACTATCTGCTTTCCGTCCCAAAACACTGGCCGGGGGGGCCGGAGCCGCTTAATACACTTTTGCTGTGCCCTGTACGTGCGATGTGCATTATATCGAGCGCTCTAGACAGTTCAGGCTCACGGACCAGCTAGTTGTATGCTTTGGAGAGCGTACAAAAGGCCTGCCTGTGTCCAAGCAAAGGCTGTCACACTTTTGTTTTGGCTTGAAATGTCCTATAGGGGTTCGGGCCCACTCAACCCGCGGACTCGGGCAAATGGCATATCTATTCAGGACATTTGCATGGCGGCAGGCTGGTCGTCACCCAGCACTTTCGCGAGATTTTATAACCTAGATGTGTCGTCGCTTGCCTCACATGTGCTGTCAGTGTGAGCAGCACACGCGCCTACTCCGCCTCACTAATGATCTGAGCTGCTTGCCTCAGTGGTTTCGACTAGGTCGTATACACCTCTGTGTTGACGTACCACTAATTCAATGCTGTCCCTATCAGCTTATCACATTGTTATGATATTGTTCATCACGTCTTTTAGGACATGATCACCATCATACTCTGCTTATTTGAGCACCGGTACGGCCGTTGCATCATAACACATAATTTTATTGAAATTAAACAAACTTCAACTAACCTATATGTGATCCGATTGTGCAATCTGACACAGCCGCCTCGCCGTCGCGAGAGTTTTTTGGCACACGTTAACATGACATCAGCGCAAGTCGGACGTAACTCGGACACTTTTCTAACCGGCATGCATCTCGCGGTGATCACCGGTGATCGGTTCTGCGCAGATTTTGCTCATCTCAAACAAGCCTATTTTCTAATGATCCTGAAGACATTGATTAGCAAACTCAGGTGTGTTTGATTAGGGTAGAGCTAAACTCTGCAGGAAAGTGGATCTCGCGAGCCAGATTTGAGGATTACTGTAGGCTTGTTTAGTGATCTCCGCAGACTCCATCTATGGTAACATCACAATCGTGCTGCATTGTAATATAGAGTGGCCTGAAGTGTATAAATGAAGTAGACTCTCACTCAGTCAAAATCGAGGGGTCAAAGGTCTGTCCATATAAACTTCCCTCATTAACATCATCACGAAGTGGAACACACTTCAAAATGGCAGTGGGATTGCCCTGAGGGGAAGTGCTTAGGAAAGTTTGCGAGAACGTGTCTAAAAGTGAAGTGAAACACAGACTGAGTGTTCCACTTCACTTTTAGACACTGCTGCAGAGCTCACCTCAGAGCGGGCTTGGAAGAAGTGCGTATCGAGGGCACATTGCAGTCACAAAGGGGGGTGCTCGTGAGCATCCTTCTGAAAGCTAAAATGATGAATAAGACCCCCTACGAACTTGGGGACTCTTAAGACCGCAAGTGCACATGAAGTCTGCCATTTGGGACATAGCATAAGTTTGCTTTTAGATATTTTATTTATTATATTTAGTTATTTGATGATTTAGGGGTGTGTCGTCATGATTGTGGGCTTTCAATTGGGTCTGCGGGAGTTTGGGCAGGACTTTGTTACCACGGCTCCAGCTCATGATCACTACTGCACAGACTCAGGCTCCAAATTACATCATTGGCGCAAGACGACATCGACCATACCTCGGATATTTTGGCTTCACTTTTCTATAGTGGAAGGAAGGATCTTTTTACAGTCTATGCTCTAATGTCAAGCTGACGTCTGGCAAAAATCAGAAAAAATAAGAAACTCGTGACCTGCTGCCATGTTCAAAAATGTATAATCTAGTTTGTATTCTCAAACATCTTTTTTCACAATACATGATTATAGCATCTGTCTTTTTAATGTTTTTAATGTTCAGTTGTCTTGTGTGCTGTATGTGATTCTAAGATAATGTTCCGCAAGCTGAGACCGATTTCTCTGAGCCCTCATGCTCCGAGTCGTCATTTTCATCAGTGGAGTCAGAAAGTTCAGATTCCACAATGATTCCACAATCTTCAAAGGCACGCAAAAAGCGATTCTTAGAAGAACCTTCTGACTGCAATGCGTCAAAAGATGTCAATTATTTTTCCTTCCTTGCTTAAGTTTTGTCCTTGAATGATATAATTTGATACCATATCAATAATCTTACCAACATTAGTATATCAAAGACTGGTTTATTTGCATTCATCCTTTTTTTTTTCTTCTTTACTTTCTCTACAGCTAGTTCATGCAGCACTGCACTCAAAACCAGGAGGCTCTGATATATTGAAGGAGTACAAACAAACGAAGAGCCTGTCTGACAAGACTCGAAGGACGCTGGTAAACATCCTTGTGGCTGATATGGTAGAGAAGTATGGGTAAGTGACCAATAAAATAATCATTAGTCTAGTTTATATATTGCACTGGTATTTGAGCACAGTTAAATTTTATATGTAATGTTAGTTAATTTTATTTATTTTTTTGTCGTCATGCTGTGGTGTAGGAGGATTCCACCAGTCAATATCCGTGTAAGCTATGCTCTTGGAATCATTACTCTATTCCCCAATTTGAAGGATAAGTGCTCACCGACTGGTTATGTAAGTATACAGTACATTGAGACTGTACACTCTTTATTTCAGCACATATCAAATGCATGAGTCAATCAAATTATTTATTATACTGCGATTTATCTCAGATGGAATCTGCAGACTTTTTTGGCATTGTCTGCACATTTTCTTCTAGAAAAATCTGCAGAATTCTGTGGAAGGAATGTAAACCTTGTCAAATGTGTAAAGCTTAGAATACTGTTATTGGTAAAGTATAAGTATCATAAAATTGGTATAAATATTTTATAGTTTGGGTAGTGCATTGTGTGTAGTGGGTCATGCAGAGAACTTCTGTAAACTATATTATTCTGAAAATTGTGTGCATGCAATACCGCCTGGGCCTGATTCATTGATGCTAAACGTTTGTTTGACAGGAACAGTTCTACGATCCACGCAGTGGCCAGGGTTACATTGCCTACAGATTGAAAACTGTTCAACACAACTCTGTAAATAACTTGAAGGGGTCATCAAAGGTGGTTTACCAAGATGGTCCTAAGACTTTGCGTGAGACATCTTCAACAACTGAGCAACTGTCAGGTGATGAATGCACAGAAGCTATATCCATGATGAAGCATTCAACGGACGCACCAGTTATTAAGGATAAAATGAGGACAACATTCAAGTACAGGCAGAATTTGATACATGATCCAGACAAATCTTCACTCATCCTTGATTACTTTCCCCGATTTTTGGATACACCAGGCTTGGTAAGAAATATTAAAATGTTGATGTTAATTGTATATGTAATTGTAATGTTTGTTATTTATATGATTTCTCTGTGTGATAGATTGACCAAGACTTTACTATGCTTTTTGGAGATGACATCTCAAGCAAGTTTATTGCAAAATGGCCAACATACTACAAGCCAAGAATAATTGCTGACTGCAAAAACCTGCACACTGGTGCACATGTGGATGACCTTCTGTCTGCTCTGGAGGAGTCTGATTATGGTAAGTATAAATGTTTTATTTTTTAAAATGGGTTAAGGTTTAACTGTATACTCTATTCTGCTAGGATGGGACCGTGATGTGGCAGCTATTCTCTTGCTCGTTCATCTCTTGCCTCCAACTGTAAAAGGAAGGAAGACTGGGAAAATCAGTGCAACTGAAGCAGCTGATCATGTTGTAAAGTTCATAAAGGTAAAATAAAGTTGTTAGATTTACTCATTTAGTCTTGTCCGCAGTTAGTGTAATCTGTAGGTTTATCTGCGTAGTCATCATATACAGGTTAAAAAATATAGGACTGGGCAGAAAACTTCATCAAATCTTCATCTCAAAACTTCATTTGTTAATTTTGGTTAATGTAGATCTCAACATAATACATTTTACAAATGTTATTTGTGTACGTTTCTCATATGTCACTTCTGAGGATGAGAATATTATTTGTGAATTTGAACATGAAAGATCTGCCAGCTTTTATACAAAACATTGTTTAAAATCTCTCATCATATGCTCTTAGGTGGGGACGAGCATCAAGACATTTCTTGAGCGAGTTGGATCTACACAACCCTTCCTCCTCTGTGTTGGAGAAAAGAGGAGTAGCATTCAGAAGTTTTACATCATCCTGGACCAGAAGGTCATTCCCTGCATGACGCAGACAGCTGTTGCAGCCTTTGATTAACTCTTTAAGGTGCACTTTATCTTTGGTGTGTCGTATGTTGAGGCCTTGTGCAACTTCTACACGTTCATTCAAACAACGGTGTATGGCATTGATGTGGGCACTGCCAAGGAAAGTCCAAGGGTCAAGGAAATCCGAGTGAGAATTCAGAACACTGAGGTTTGACCCCTCCCACACCTCTCCCCCCAGCGTCTTGCTCAAATGTTCTCATGCTTCCTTTGCAAGGTACACCACAGACGTTGTTCAAGTTTATTTCAGCATCTGAAGTTTCATCATGGTTTGTACCCAGGGCGGTCATTACAGTTGAAATGTGGCGAACCTGGATGTTCGTCTGTGTTTTATACATATGGGTTCAAGAAGCATATTTTGTGAGTGCACACAGATTGTGTAGCCTCTGGTACTGCTGAGAATGTTGGCAGTAGTATCAATTTTCCTGTTTCTGATACCCTAAGTGAGGATCCTCCAGTCACTTTTCAGACTCCTGTTGAAAATCGGCAACTAACGGACATGTGTAGTGCTATTGTTGCTCAAGTACAAGCAGCTGGAGTCTCTGAAAACACTGTTTAGTTGGTTCAATGGAAGAACTTGTAAGTGATGTTCATGCTCAAGCAAGAGACACTGTTCTAAAATGTCTTTCATCAGAGGTACCTGGGCAAACCCTAGACAGAGTTAAAGACTGTTTTAACCAGCTAGAAAATCCTTTCTCTTGCCTTAATACTGAAACAAAGGGGCAGGTACACTTAGAGAAAAAATTTAAAATTGACAAGATCCCACTCTTGCACCACTGTTTGGCCTTAAGAGAAGTTGTCCACTCAATGCATTCGTTTTTTTTCATTCTTCAGAGAATTATTTGTCATTATTATCATCAGATTGGAATTAACTGCAAATTGTAAAGTTTTTTTTAAATGCAGTGAAATGCTGTGTTTGAATGTGAATGTTAAATGTGTTGTACCTCAATAAAGTTTTTGCAATATTTTCTGCATATATGTCCTGCCATTTAATTTTGTAGCAACAACCAAATATTAACAAAAGTGCTATTAAAAGCACCAAAAGTGCTATTATAAATCAGTATTTTGAACACTCATCATTGTTATATTCAAATTACACTGGTGTTGATCTTAAAAGGAGAGTGTTAAAAATTAACACTGTAATTGAATACTAACACTGGTGTAGTGCAGAAACAACAATGAATAGTTTTGGAATAGGTCAGGGGTCGGCAACCCGTGGCTCTTTCATCCATCTGCGGTGGCTCCCTGTAACATGGGTGTACAATACGTCAGGGAGGTGTCCCCCGACTTTTAATAAAACCTAAACTATTTCCCATGCACTTTTTCTCGGGCAAGTGTGTTCACGTAGAGGTTTTCAACCACAAAGAGGTTGCCAATGTGAATAAATCTAGACTTAAATTAAAAGAGACAACATAGTCGCGTCGTTTTGGATACCTTATTCTTATCCAAAACGATGAGAACATCACGGAGCGCTGAACACTCTCACGCTGTATGTTTCATTCATACTCGAAGCCGGAGGGCGCTCTCGTACAGAAAGTCCAAACCGGACTCATATGATAGAAGTAACTTTTGATGCCAGGAAATCCCTATGGACAAAGGCATCCCGTTGTCGCTGTAGCTAAGCTGAATAACAAGCATAAACCTGCTTACTGACCTGACTGAGGACGATGGCGAATGATTTGCAGATCCTCAGCACCACTGACAAACATCTAATCTTGTAAAATGTGTGGTGAGTACTGCCGCTCCATGTATAAGTGCAATAGCGAATCTCGAAAGTGAAAGTGAAACTAACATAGATCGTGTATTCAAACGCAGTTCAGTAGCTCCCTGATGCTCGCAATTTATATACAATATAATTACCCAATGATATAACTGCGAGAGACATTATTAAAATATGTATTTTCCTCCCAAAAAGGAAAGGGGGGTGGGGGGGGGGGATCACAATCAGCTCAACATCATGTTATCTATCAGCCATCGGGGATGGACGAGGGCATCGTCTATCGGCCCAACCCTATTTTTCAAGTCTTTTATTTGAATGATACAGTGGTAATTGACATAGCATTAATTACAGTACAGAAGCTATAAGATATATTTTCTGCCTTATGCTGTGATAAAAATGGAAAAAAAGTGTTTGTAGTATATAAACTATTATACTGATTATACAATCATAACCATAAATTTGTCATTATTAAAATATATATCAAAAATATTATAGAAGACAAATGATTGGTTATTGTTCAGCAGTGTATTTTATTTCTTAGACAATTAAAAGTAAGATATTAAAAAAAAAATTGTCAATTAGACAGACATACATAAATATTATTAGGTCTATTATTATTATTATTATTATTACTACATTTGACATTTCTGTCCCCCTCACTTCTGAAATGACTGCTACTCCCCATGCCCTGTAACATAACTGAATATAACACTTTAGCTATATGCCGTGTTATCTTTATTTGGGGATCAAATATGTTGTGGCTCCACGTGAATTTTATTCGGTGGGAAAGGGGCCAAAATGGCTCTTTTGACGTTGAAGGTTGCAGACCCCTGGAATAGGTTTAACAATAATGAGTGTTGAATTTACACGCAAAGGGTGTCAGAAAGTTAACACTATCAAAAGTGTAACATTTACACTCTGTAGTGTGGGCACACACTTTGCTGGTGTTAAATTTGACACTGTGGGTGTTCTTTTTACACCAATGATTTTGCTGTGTATTTATTTGGTATTGATTCCTTAAAAAATATTGATATTTCAATGCAAAATGTAGGTTTCTGCACCACTTTCAAATGTCTTCTGTACTTTCTCTTAAATGTTTGTGCTAAAACACCCCTGGCATATTTAACCGACCTGTGTCACATGACTGAAATGTGAGCACACAGTCACACATGCACAAAGACACCCACTTCCGCATTATACTGAGAGCAATGAACAGAATAGGAGGAAGGAAATGTAGTTTGGTGTGGTGCTACTTTTCCCCAGTACAAAAAAATACAGCAAAATGCCATGATATACAATACATTAATTTATTTTATTCATATTTATCTTATGAGAAATCACAATATTTCTGTGAAGTACAAGAATATTTTTATGCCTCTTGGTATACAAATGTTTTATGTACACAGTATGTGTCATGTAAATGTAATATGCTTTTAAGTGTAATAATAATAATTATTATATATATATATATATATATATGTATACATTTATTTATTTTTTCTTCTAAAAACTGATGTGTGAAATTGGGTGTGAACAACTCCAAGTTAGAAATGATCTATTCTATCCTATACTATCCTAATGAAAGTATTCCTATCATTTTAAATGATCAGAATGTATCTATGGCAATGGGTTCTAAAAATATGACTTCTTATAACTTTAACAACATAAAACCAACCAAATGAAGTTTAAAATTCAGTATTTAATTATTTGCATTTCTGAAACAATATGTTAAACACCAAAGTTGTAGCCTTCCTAAAAACAGACTAAACAGAGAGTTTGTTGGCCATTAGGGACTACAGGTGGAAAGATATATCTGATTATAATGTGATGAAAAGCATTTTCTGGTTCTTATCAGAGAAGGATTTGGTGCACTTGTACACTGTCCCTATCTAAACTACAAATAATATGTATATATCATAAACTAAACCAGAAATATCACATTAAAACACCAGTTTATAATTCAGAGATTTAACTTAACTACAGTGCCTTATGGTGGGTTAAGTTAAAATGCTGACTCAATTTACCCCATAACATTTGTCTCATTTTGCCCCATTGCTGCCATTTTGGGAAAAAATAGCTACTGTTGCTTACCAGGGTAGGCTAATATTTAGCTAAATAATTTGCATGGTTTTATATGTTGCTAAATCACCTATCATAAATATTTTTAGACCTGGATAAATTTGTTTTGATGTAACATCCATTACATCTGTTATGCTAAAAATTTTACTTTGACAAGCCAACAACTGTTTTTAAAGTAAATGGGTGCCTTCCATAACAATAATAATACACATAATAATACCAAAAGGTAAAGGTTTGTAAAGGTAAAGGTAAAAGTGGCCTGTTAGCCACTGCAGTTAGACATGTTATCTACACAATAATGTGGGTAAAAGCCCTTTGATATAGAGCCATTAATTAATAGTATAATTGCAGATGCTTCAGAGTAAAAACATATTGAAGACTTGTGTCTGACTTGTATCTTAAGGATTTGTAATACAGAGCGATCAGTCACATGGCATTTTGAGTCGGAAGTCACACTACACACCTACAAAGCCAAAATGCTGTAACAGCTTTAATTATTTCTATGAATATGAGCAAATTAGCTAAATTACTTTGAGACAATATGTAGGAATTATGACGTGCCTTTGGACTGCAGCAAGCAAGCAAATTAAAATATATATATTTGTGTCATTGTATAAATATATAGTTGCAGTTTTGCAACTTTCAGTTAGTTGCTCCCCAAAACTTTAAAGAAATTAACAACAACTGTACATCTACATGATGATACATGAACAAACATGACCACTGTAAATCATACTTTGTACTTTTTTTTGTTTATGTCTCTCTTCAGCATTGGCAGACAAAAACAGGATATGATCTTTATTTAAAGAAAGAGTTATAGCAAAAATTGTTCTTCTTAGAAATGACTTTTGGTTCTCCTGCTAGAGCTGGAAATAACTACTGATACCAGCACTGTTTATTTAGTGTATTTAGGATTATGATGCATATGCACAAAAAATTATGTTTTTTATATTTTACAGTAATATCATTGTTTGATTGAAGACCTTTTTTTGTAAAACACATGCATTTATATCTTCAGTATTTTATTGTAAAGCTGTTTTGTGTAAAGCAGAAATCAAACTGTGAACATTAGATTGGCAGGAACGGAAAAAAATGCTCTTAAACCACACACAATACTGACACATCTTGACAAACACGCACACAAACTGACATCAACCACAGATGTCCAGTAATAGACATATGCTTATGCAGAGGCTGTTTGTCCACCAACAGCTCAAACCATATATCTGTACAGCTGTAAATAAACCACAGAAAGTTTCACTTTGACTCACAAACTGAACAGCTAGTGGAGGCCAAAACCTCAAAATGCCGGGGGCCTTCAAAAGAAGTTGAACTCCAGGACTTTTTTTACAGAACAGTAAAATTATAGTACTTATATTTATAGCTGACTATCTTAATTACTCTGTTTTCAAATGTAAAACCACTGAGCATTTATTTTGGTGAAAATACATGAGATCTTAAACATTTCACATTTACTGCAAGCCTATCATATATAAGTACAATTAAATCACAGCCTTTAACTATTTCATAATTGCACTAAGCCATATTATGTTCTTACAAGGTTGTTAGAATTTGTTAAAAAGTTACTGGCTAAGGGGCGAGTAGCACTCTTTCATAAACTCGCCAACATTGATTTTTACTTGCATTTGGTGAGGGTTAATTTTAGGCCCTGTCTATAAGACTTTTTTTCAGGAGTTAGAGTAGTACAAAGCAGTTTTTTAGGAGAGCATTTTACTCTAAGTATCACACTTAAAACTCTTCATAATGGTCCTGCTGTATGTGCCATGGGGTTTCTTGGCAATATTCAAGGTAAAACTAGAGCAAAACTGAAAAAATACTGAAAATAAACATCTTATATTTTAATATTGTGTGTATATGTTTTCAGAATGAGTGCTAAATAGTTTTCTCTACAATCTCAAAACTCAAAAATAGACTGAAGTTTTCACAGGAGTTTCCTAGAGAACTTATCACACAGCTTGATCTGGTACTAGCAAAAGATTGAAGTTTGATCATCTTCTCATGGCGACAGGGGCATACTCCACGTCATCCTCCTCTTTACCTTTCTGTAAAAAACACATGACACAAGATCCTGAAGATTGATTGAGATTCAGTTAAAGGTGTAATTGATCATCGTTGATCC